TTGATGCTGGTTTGAAGCCAAAGGGTAGTCACACCAAATATTGCTTTGATTTAGATTTCTCGTCTGTTCGCTCACTTTGCATTTTGTAAATTGATAAACATAAACAGTTAAAATATATATTTTTGAAAGCATTCTTACTTTACAGCATTTTTTCACACCTGCATAAAACTTTTGCAGAGTACTATATATTTCAAATTTAGATATTGCCCACCTCATGAAAAGTTACTCTGGGTGGTTCACAATAAAACAACAATAAATATTAATTAAAATACAATAAAAACAATATAAAATACAGTAAAAATAGAATAAAACCAGACACATATACAAATAATAATTATGCTATGTTGACACACTGTTTTGCAGGCCCTAGAATCAGAGATATGTTGTTAACTGGGAACAAGGCTAGTTGTTTGCATGTTTGCCTAATGTGGGCTGCTTTCCTAGAATGAAACTGGCAATAAAGAATTCTCAACTGATAAAAGCTTCAATTCATACTATCTGTGCTGTCTTTTTTTTTTTTAATCCAGTATTGTGTGGGTTCCTAGAATCTACCCTGGCACCTTAGAAGTAATCTTAACTTGTTTATGCCTTCTTTTCCCTGAATGACTGTTTTAGCAGGTCTTGGGAAAGAAGTTGGGAGAGCAGCCCAGCTGAATTAAAAGACAAAACTAGGCTATTTAATGCAAGTCCCTTGCCAAATATGCAAGAACTTGCTGACATTTTAAAGCTTAATTCTGTACATTCTTTGTCTTATAGGAAGATGACGATTCAGAGACTGAAAAACCTGAGGCTGATGACCTAAAGGTATTTGGGAGAGTATTATGATGGGATGGGAATACACTGTAAAGCATAATAGCATGATTTAGTTAGTCATTTGCATCTTCTGTTCTTGACAAGCTAACTCTTGTTTGGGGAGGTGGGAGATGTGTGATGGCTCCTGAGATGTATACAAAAGTCAGGAGGACTCAGGTAGCACCTTTTCAGACTAATAGCTTTTTATTAAAAGACATAAGATTTTGTGAAGTACAGGTCACTTCATCAGATGCAAGTATTGTTAGTCGGAAAAGGTGCTACTAGACTCTTCCTGATTTTTGTCTACCAAAGACTCGCACAGCTCTCCTTCTACAAAGTGTATATGAGTTTTGAATTTTAATTATCGTGAGTAACTAAGTTAACTTTCCAGAAAAGAGATTGGCTAATTATCAGGATATGAAATATTATGCTTTGTATGAGCTCTAACACTAATGGTCAAAAACAATGCAGATGACTGAAAAGGAATAATATATTTCAAATAATTGAATTATGAATCAGCATGTTTGCAAATTTTCATCTTTAGTATGCTTTGTGAAGTTCAAGCAGTGCTTAAGATTAATTTGGAGTTATTAAAAACTAAGATTATACAGGTAGTCCTCAGCTTATGATGGCAATTGGACCGGAATTGCTGCTGTTAACTGAATCCCATGGTTGTTAGGCAAGGCAACTTCTTGCCGGCTTCTCACAACCAAAATCAGTGGGAAAGCCAGCAGGAAATTGCAAGTCCCAGGCCCATAGGCAGGTAAGTGGCTGCTGCCGGGTGGGGGAGGGGGTGTGGGGGAGAGTGAGTGGGAGATGTGGCATGGGGAGGGGGTGTGAGGGTGCGAGGGAGGGTTGGGAAGGGGTGCATGAGAGGGGTTGCATGGTTGGGGAGGGTGCAAGGGGGTGTGTGAGAGGCACCGCCCAGACTGGGGAGAGAGTATGGGAGTGTGCGAGAGGCATGGCATGGGTCGGAGAGGGTGCATGAGAGGTGCTGTGCAGGTCAGGGGGGATGCATGGGGGTGTGACACAGGTCGGGTCAGGTGCGAGGGAGTGCACAAGGGTGTAAGGGAGACACAGTGAAGGTTGGGGAGAGTGGGTGGGGGTGCACAAGTGGCCAGTGCAGCACAAGCGTAGAGTGGCTGGGGGAGGGTACACATGTGGGGTGACTTTCTGGGGAAGCCAGCAGGGAAGGTTGCAAAGGACGATCACGTGATTGTGGCACTCTTGGCAACCTGTCATAATTGCAAATGGGTTGCCAAGCACCCATTGTAATCATGTGACCACGGGGGTGCTGGGATGGCTGGAACTCCAAGGACTGGTCATAACCACCATTTGTTCAGCGCCGTCGTAGCTTTGAACAGTGGCTGAATGAATGGTTGTAGGTCGAGAACTATCTGTATAGTAAGTCCAATGTAGTGTGTGGTCCATAAGTATGTGATATAACACAAGCAAAGTTGCTCAAGTAGTCAGTAGCCGAGATAAAATAATTTATATAATAAAGCTTGCCATTTTCTTGTGTAGTACAGGTGGTCCCTGGGTTAAGAACACCTGGTTTATGGACAATCCATAGTTAAGAACAGAGCCTATTGTAGCAAAATTCAAGTTAAATACACAATGATTTGAGTTAAATACACAATGGTTTGAGTTCACTACTTATACAGTATTGTACAGTAATATTGTTCTGGCTTACATACAAATTTGACTTAAGGACAGACCTTGGGAACTGCCTCTGCTTAATAGAGTAATGGTGGGGAGTGGCAGTTAGACCTCAACGTCTATTAAATGGTGAATAGGATTATACACATGCTTAACACTGCTGTATATATATGTAAAATGACAAGCAGATTTTTCTGTTGCATTCAGAGTCTGCTAAAATAGTTCAGGAGAAGCTGAAAGGTTCAGAGAGAGAGTGCTTTTTCCAAGGAGATTCCTAGTCCCATGAAACTATTTCATAGATGCTGCCATTTAGCAACCACCTGTATTAATACAGGTCAGTCAGTCAAAGTAATAGGTACATAAACAGTCCCCACCCCCAATCTGTTTGGGTAATTGGAAGAACTGATTTGAATACAAAGCAGAGAAGCCCAAATGAGGGAATGTCAGTGCTACTACAGTGCCCACAGAGCTTTCTTTCCTTTCTCCCTCCTGCCAGTTTCCCATATGAATCATTTTTGGTAAGGAAAAAGCTTTTTCTCTCTCCCATCTCCCATTTGATCACTGTGTTTGTGTGTGTCACTCACACTTTCTGTATTTTGCAATCTCCCCAGCCCAAGATCAAGATCCAGCCAGCAGATCTCCTGATCTCCTGGGAGTTTGATATTCTAGTGTAATGAGAATTAGACCAGGTACTTGGTCTCTCTCACAAGCTAATCCAAAATAGCCCTACTGCTGTCATGTCAAGGAACTAGGCAGGGAGGCAGCCTTCCTGTGGCAGACTTTCTGGGCCAATTGGAGCTAAGCAGATCATTATCCCTGACTGTTTTATCCCCAGGCTTAACCCTTAGATGCCCTAGATTGTCTGAATAACAAGTTTTGTGTCAGGAGAAGAAGGAAAAGATCACTTCCAAATTGGAACAACTAAAGACAGCTGTAGGGTGCCTCAGCAGTGGGGTAGGGCTGAGATGGAGGTCATGTCATGAGGATGTCATGTGATGTTGTACCACGGCAAACAGAATGTGAGGATAAATGTTTTAGGAATGCATTGGACTGGAATGCTGGTGGATGGGAATTTCAACATATTGCTAGTTCTGGATCAGTTTATAGTATCCCAGCAGATATTGAACTTTTAAATGTGAACCTAGGCCTGTTCTCGAAATTGTACACATATCAGCCCTGCTGGAGTGATCTATAAACCTATCTATTGGAGCTATATACATGTGGAGTATAAACCATTGTCCTGCTATATATACATGTTACACATGTATAAACCTGCTGTAAGAAAGCATTATAACCTATTTTGGGCAAATTTCATCTGTCTCCTTAGTATCACTTGGTTGAAGTTAAAATATTGTTTCATGTACCCAAGTATTTTAAACTGAATCCTGAACAGTTATGTACTTCTAAAAATATGTCCATGATAATTTGATAGTGCAGAGAACCAGTGTGATATAGTTATTAAGATGTTTGACTTGGAAGACCCAGTTTAAGTCCGCTCTTAGCTGTGGAAGTTCACTGGATGACTTGGATCAGTCACCCTTTTGCAAGGTTTTTGTCGTGGGGAAAAATGAGAGGAGGAACTACTGTGTATGCCATCTTGAGCTTCAAGGAGGAAAGGAGGATGTAAATCTAATAAGTAAAAAAATAAATGTCTTATTGTCATGTTGATTAGATGCTTACTCTTTCTGTCTCTCTATGTATATGAATGATATACTTATTTGTTTTTGTTTTGGGGTTTTTTTGGTTAACTTAGGAAAATATATGTGACGTTTCTTATTACAGAGAATCCCAAAGCTTTGTCTCTTTCCAAATGTATGCCTGTCAGTACCTAAAAAATCTGGGACTTAAAAATTAATTAAAAACTGTGTTGTCCATGTAGTGGCAGTATTTCTTCACTAATTTCTCTAGCCCTCTGATTTCATTATGCCAGGTTGTATGAACTGTGTGACTCAACTGGCATATCCAAGTTGATAATTTAACCTGCCTGATTAATGTCCCAAATATAAAAGTACAAATAAGCTTAATGGATGAGGGTGTAAAGAAGATATGAACTGAACTATTGGAAATATAAACTTAACAATTATCTTTGTTTAGATGGCATACATTTCTGTTTTTAAAAAATATTTTAAAAGCCATAAAGATCCTTTTTGTAATTTCTGAAATTTATATTAATATTTGAGCCACCAATTACTACCCAAACCCAGTCTTTCTATATATGAATGCTGGCTGATTTGATTTTGCTTTGTTTTGTTTTCCCACTTTTTTTACTGTATATGTTTTACATTGTTTTAATCTCTTGCTGCTCTTTTTTATTATAGACTGCTTTGTTTCTATACTGCTTTGAGGTGCGACTTAATGGGAAGCAGGACAAAAATATATTAAAGAATCAGTAAAATAAATTGTTAATTTATTATTTTTTGAGAAAAAGACACAACTGCAGTAACCTTAGTATATATAACTGTTTTAAAAATTGAGTTTTATAAAATGTACCGCAGAAAAAAAATATTCTTTTGGACTGCTGCATATTATGTATTTCTGATACCTTATTCATGGTTAATTCAGTTAGTTTAGCTTTGTATGTGTTCCCATTTCTTCCTTAGTCCTGGCTATCCCATTCTGAATTTGAATTGAAGTCTATTCAGCAGTGCATCAAAAATGTTGCCACTTTTCCATGCAGAGGTAATAGTTAGCAAGACTTCAGTCAGACTTGTCAAATTACCCTTCACAAAATTATGTAGAAGTCAGAAACTTCTGTGATGGGAGATGATTTGGGGATCTTGTTTGATAAGTACATCTCGAATTGCTGTTGCTCTATATATATTTGTAACAGGCTGCCCTAGTACATTTCAATGGCATCTTTAAAACTACTTTTGCTCTTTCTGGAGACTTCTTTTATAAAAGGCCACTTTTTTTTTTTAGGCTTCTTAGTCATGCTGAATAAGAGAACACTATGTCCAAGTAAGCTTTATAAGTTCAGGCATGGATGTCAATTAGCAATTTTCTCCTTAGCTCCAGGGCTAGACTAGTTGCAACTGAGAACAGCCTTTAAAAGAAAGGCCTTTATTTTACTACAGTGATGTAAAAGTAATCATGTAAATACAGTTGTTTTAGCAATCCAGAGTCCTTGTAGCTGTTGATGTTATACCAGCCTGGAAAGAATTTTGAATAGTTTTATGAGCATAGAGTAGTACAATATGTGATAAGTACGACCAACCCTTCTGCTTAAGCTTTTCAGGGGGTGTTCCAGGGGAATGATTAACTTTATCCATGATTACTAGTCTGATTTCACTGATCCAAGCACATTCATCAACAGCATCATGCTATGGCCACTTGCAGACCTACCTTTAGCACTT